GATGTTTTTTAATTTTAAGTTTATAGAGAACTTGACTTATTCATAATGTACAACCTCTAAAGCAATGAGCTGTGCAGTTGTCTTAGTCCTGCTCATCGATTTAAAGTTAAAACTTAGGGCTCAATATGCGCACCAAAATGAGCACAAAAAACATTACCAGGGACACCATCCATGCGCAACATGGCACTGTTAATACTCTGATATTTTGCAGTTGTGGATGAGATCAGTCTCTCTAAGAGTTTCAAGGCTGGTTTACAAAATTATTCAGTTTACCTCTAAAGTCTTTGACTTGGAGGCTTATTACAAGGCAGTAGCTGGATACAGTTAACATCTGCACAAAATGAGTATTTTTATCAAGACACTATCTCTGGCCTTAACTTAACCAAGAGCGCTAAAGCATTTAAGCTGGATGCAGTTAATATCTTCCGAAAATGAATATTTTTATCATAACACTATCTCTAATTAATACTTAATGAAGACTTATGCTTAATGAAAGATTGATTATTTTTATTTTGTCATTTAATAAATCAAACTTCTATTTAATTGACAAATTTTGCCAAGCAAATAAAAGTTTAACAAGTAGTTAATAAGTTTAATAAGGTTCAGTAGTATATCAATAAAATTGATATACTACTTATATTATACAATGATGTTAGACAGATGATGATGTTGGACAGATGATGATGTTAGACATATGATGATGTTAGACATATGATGATGTTAGACATATGATGATGTTAGACATATGATGATGTTAGACATATGATGATGTTAGACAGATAATGATGTTAGACAGATGATGATGTTAGACAGATGATGATGTTAGACATATGATGATGTTAGACATATGATGATGTTAGACATATGATGATGTTAGACATATGATGATGTTAGACATATGATGATGTTAGACAGATGATGATGTTAGACAGATGATGATGTTAGACATATGATGATGTTAGACATATGATAATGTTAGACAGATGATGATGTTAGACAGATGATGATGTTTGACATATGATGATGTTAGACATATGATGATGTTAGACATATGATGATGTTAGACATATGATGATGTTAGACATATGATGATGTTAGACATATGATGATGTTAGACATATGATGATGTTAGACATATGATGATGTTCGACAGATGATGATGTTAGACAGATGATGATGTTAGACAGATGATGATGTTAGACATATGATGATGTTAGACATATGATGATGTTAGACATATGATGATGTTAGACATATGATGATGTTAGACAGATGATGATGTTAGACAGATGATGATGTTAGACATATGATGATGTTAGACATATGATGATGTTAGACAGATGATGATGTTAGACAGATGATGATGTTAGACAGATGAATATGTTAGACATATGATGATGTTAGACATATGATGATGTTAGACAGATGATGATGTTAGACAGATGATGATGTTTGACATATGATGATGTTAGACATATGATGATGTTAGACATATGATGATGTTAGACATATGATGATGTTAGACATATGATGATGTTAGACATATGATGATGTTAGACATATGATGATGTTAGACATATGATGATGTTCGACAGATGATGATGTTAGACAGATGATGATGTTAGACAGATGATGATGTTAGACATATGATGATGTTAGACATATGATGATGTTAGACATATGATGATGTTAGACATATGATGATGTTAGACAGATGATGATGTTAGACAGATGATGATGTTAGACATATGATGATGTTAGACATATGATGATGTTAGACAGATGATGATGTTAGACAGATGATGATGTTAGACAGATGAATATGTTAGACATATGATGATGTTAGACATATGATGATGTTAGACAGATGATGATGTTAGACAGATGATGATGTTAGACGTATGATGATGTTAGACATATGATGATGTTAGACATATGATGATGTTAGACTGATGATGATGTTAGACATATGATGATGTTAGACATATGATGATGTTAGACATATGATGATGTTAGACATATGATGATGTTAGACAGATAATGTTGTTAGACAAATAACGATGTTAGACAGATGATGATGTTAGACATAGATTGGAAATAGTGAGTGCGGTAGGGTGTTTCAAAGATGAAAAAGGTTTTGAGCATTTTGAGTGTAAAGATCTGCACTAAGATTAACTAACATGGAGTTTCAGGAGAAAACAATTGATTTATAAGATAAAAAACTTTTAAAATTTTAGAACTTTAACTAGATGGGTTTCACAGAAAATTTTAATTTTTTAGACATTTAACATTTAATTTTTAGAACTTTATTAGGTGGCTTTCACAGAAGCAAAGATTCTGAGAACGAAAATGATAATAATGATGATGATGATGATGCCGATGATGAGTTTAATAAGTTGAGTATAAAAATTTAATAAGTTTAGAAATTTTTTTAGTGAAATTAACAAAAATGATAAAATATTTATACTAACGATTGTTTTTATATTATGAAAAAACTCACCAGGTTGTATTTTCTGGCTATTAAGAATCTCAATTAGATCATTTCTTTCCATAGATTTAATTAACTCTATAAAATCCTCGTATTTTTTAGGATCAACTTTAATAAAACGTTCTAATTCTCTGATCATTTCACAACCATTTGTGACATTTTCAAGAACAGATGCTTCAATCAAATCAGAAAAAATAAACTTCATTTCTTCAACATCAGTGCTATTTAATCTTTTTCCAACTTCAAACATTTTTTCATAATCCATTTTGAAAAAAACTAAAAAAAAAAAAAACAAACAAAAAAGTTAAAAAAAACAAACAGTTATTGTGCAGTAACATAACTTTTTATATTTGAAGGAATATAATTTTGAAAATAATGATGATGGTCAACTGAAATTTTGTATAATTATAGTTTTTTCACCCAATTCACATTTGCAGTTGGTTTTGATCTATTTCAAATATTTTTTTTTTCTTTACCTCGGAGTTGCTAAATAATGCACCTCAGAGTTTTTAAACAATGAAAAATTAGTAAAGTTTTTCTTAACTTTAAGGTGATTTAGTTTCATACCTACTGAGAGACAGTTACAAGCATATTAAACATTAGCAGTAACTTGTTGAAGTTAATAAATTATGCATGGATAAGTTAATTAAAACTTAATAAATTATGCATTATTGTAGCCTATAGAGTTTAATGCTTATATAGTTTAAAAGTAGATCTCGAAAATAGCGAATAATTTTATTTTAATGAGAAAGTAAATACTAAAAAAAAAATATCAAACAAAAAAAGAACTTTATTTACAGAAAACAGAAATGGATGGAACACTTATTTGTCAAATAAAACCTTCTTGTGCAATAATAGTTTCAAATTTCAAATTTAATTTCAATTTCAAATTTAATTATTTTTTATGCATGAACTTTACACTAACTTTTTTAGTTTTTCATTATCTTTAAAAATTTTAAACACAAACTATAAGTACCATTTAATGGTACTTACTTCAATGGTAGTTAGTGTAGAATGATTGACAAATAAACCTAAAAGCATTAAATGTATTTTACAGAAACATTTCTTTGATAATTTTAAGTTTACATTATTCAGCTTATGAGTATTGTAATCAAAATTATGAGTATTGTAATTAACATTATTCAGCTTATAAGTAGCCTGTATTAGTAAAGATTCTTCATAAAAATAGTTTTTCTTTATCTGGAACAAAACATGTACCAACAGACAAAGTAATATGTCAAGTCGTTGATCGGTCCATTAGGGTAGAAGTGCTTGTGATTACAACCCTGCTATTAATGATTATGACTGATCGTAAGTTAGATTGTTCTGTATGTTTTGCTTGATTAAATTCAAAGTTATCAATACTCAACAAACAAAATTAGACTTGGATTCAAAGTTATCAAAACTCAACAAACAAAAGAAATGTATTCAAAGTTATCAAAACTCAAAAAACAAAATTAAACTTGGATTCAAAGTTATCAAAACTCAACAAACAAAATTAGACTTCTTTGATAAAAATTCTTTGATAAAAATTGGGAAAAATCCTGTTTAATTACAATATTATAAACTTTATTACATTAATTACATCTGCTGAAAAATCTTTTAAAAAAAATTTAATATTAAATGTACGATATAAAACTTACTTAAGCTACCTAAGTTCAATGAAGAGCCATTTACCCTGATTTCTTCCTCATTTGATTAAAATTTAATCCAATTTTCCTGATTTTTTTTTGCAGATATCTGGATTCCCTGACTTTTTCCTGTTTTCCCTGATTTCCCTGATCTAAAAAATACCTGTTATTAGGCGACTTAATGTATTTATATTTTGTCTATACACATTTCTTCTTTATGATGGTTGTTTCGCTTTTTATTTTTGCTCTCACTTAAAAGTTTATAAAAACTTTCATGTTTTGTTGGTTTATCAAAAATAAAAAATCCAGATGTTTTAAGGAGTACATGTAACCAATTATATTGCTTATGTTTTAAGGAGTAAATGTAGCTAAATATATTAGTTATGTTTTAAGGAGTATATATAACCATTGATTATGTTTTAAGGAGTAAATGTAACCAATTATATTGTTTATGTTTTAAGGAACAAATCTAACTAATTATATTGCTAGTAGAGTAAAAATTAATTTACTTTGACGGATATTACTTCCAATATTATGCATATTACTTTCCTGAAACCCTTTATTATGATTATTTTATATTAAAATATTGTAAAAGAATAATAATAATAAATGAGACACTTTTTAAAAGTTTTTCTATGCACATTTATTATTTTGTGTTAGGTTACAACAAAACTTTAGGTAACCCTTTTTAATTGATTGACTCTTTTTACTTTTGAAAGAATTTTTTGGTATAACCCAAAAAAATGTAAATTTATTAAAACCATTTTTTTCATAAATTTCAACTTAAATAATAAAATATTTTCAACTTAATGAGTATTTTATAAACATCCATTTAAATTTTTTCCAAAATTTTTTCAGAAATCAAATCAGAAATGAAATATATATATATATATATATATATATATATATATATATATATATATATATATATATATATAATATATATATATTTATATATATATATATATATATTATATATATATATATATATATATATATATATATATATATATATATATATATATATATATATATATATATAATATATATATATTTATATATATATATTTTTATAATATATATATATATATATATATATATATATATATATATATATATATATATATATATATATATATATATATATTTGTATATATATATACATATTTGTATATATATATATATATATATATATATATATATATATATTTCTATATATATATATACATATTTGTATATATATATATATATATTTGTATATATATAAATATATATTTGTATATATATATATACACCTATATATGTATATATATATATATATATATATATATATATATATATATATATATATATATATATATATATATATATATATATATATATATTTATATATATATATATGTATACATATATATTTTATAAACATATTCATAACTTGATATATATATATCACTGATCAATTAAGTAATTAATGCAATTAATTACATATAAAAAGTCCAAGCAGAAACCAATCCATATAACAAAAATTAGAAACAAAAGAATTAACTAGCCGAAAAACAAATATTTTTTTAACATCTTGTAGCCAATTTTGTAATTAATCACCAAACCAACATGGGTGAGTCTAATGAAATAATGCCACAACAAAACAATGCAGATAGTAAGATGAGACAATACTTTTCAAATGCATAGAAGGATTCAAAGTAAAAGATCTGAATAGAAACTCTATATTAGCTATTGCCACTAAATAAGCCTAAATTCAACTGTGTGGTCTGATTTCACTAAATAGTGAAATCAGACTAGTAAAGAGGGTAAAAGGTATTCAAAATAGTCAATGGGATTTACAGGTAACAATGGATTTTAATAGTAACATGATTAATCATGTTAATTAAAATTGCAACTTGGTAAATGGGTTATATTAACCAACCAAGTTGAATTTTAAAAAAGTATGATAATGCAAGCTCTTAATCAATTCTCCTTAAAACACCTTAAAATAAATAAAAGTAGTTTCAGAAAGTTGGAAATGCAAAACTCAAAAAGCTGCTGCATAATCAACTCTCAAACAGAAGAGAGCTGATTATGAAGCAGCTTTCTAAGCTCAAGTTTTAAATGATGATAGGAATTTTTAGGAATCTTTTTAGGCTAGGTCAAACTTTCAGTTGTGCTATAGAGTTGGGAAAGTAATAATAGGGGTAAATCTGTATTTTTAACTGTACAAGCTGCTCAAAGATGTAACATTTCTGTCATTGCCAATTGGAATCATATTTATGTATGAGCATATCTATATATGAGCCACTAATGGTTCAGATTTTAATATAGAATTAAAAAAACTCAAAGAACTTTGTGAAATGCAAAATACAAGTGATCCTATTTAAATTATGGATAATATAGTGCAGAGAAAAAGTTGAGCGCAGCACTATCAGGGACATAGTGGGGATTAAACTTTGATCTCTTTGCTTATGTATGAGGAGCTCAACCACTGCACCACAACTGCATTCTTCTTAGATCACTTCTGTATTCTCCTTTTCTCAAAAACATTTCTGTTTGGAAAAACAATTTGTGGTGGTGCTACTGGCAAACCTTAATTAAGATTTTTAATTGCAAACAAGTGTCAAGAGCGACAGTCAAACACAGGGTGTCTGTCAATATTTAAAAGTGGATTTCCCTGATATTTTCCTGATTTTTCCCTGATCCACTACCTCTTTTTACTGATTTAGTTTAAAATCAACTTTAGAAAAACTAGACATATTCTTTTGAAAAATCACCAACAATTGCAAAAATTTAAACATTAATACACAGATTTAAAGTATCGAAAAAAGTTTATAAACCTATCTGTAGAATATAATTTTATGTTATGTGTATGATGACAAACTTACTTAAGTTTCATAAGTTTGATAAAGAAGCATTTTCCCTGATTTCTTCCTAATTTTTCTAAAATTTACCTAATTTCCTAGATTTATTTTTGTAGATATTGAATTACCTGACTTTTCCATGATCTGGCACACACCTTGAAATTTGTGCAGCATTCAATCAAAAAATGCTTTTGTACATAAAAAGTGAAAAACAAATACAAAATTATTCTTGATTAAAAATGAGTTAAATATTTGGCTGTGAATTTAAACATTTTCTTGTTTTTATTTTAATGTAAATAGGTAATTAATTGCAACAATTATGTCATACATCGATAAACTCTATACGGGAGTCAGAATAGGTATAGGACATTAGTGCCTATGTAAAGCAATCGCCTTGAGACTCAACCTCTTTCCAGCCATATATAGAAAGTACTGTGCTTTATATGGCTTCACTTTAATATTATCAATATCCTGAGAACACTTTTATATAAATAAACTAGCTGCGGTAACGTTTTTTTTAAACGAAGCTTTTTTAGGTAAGGATTCCTAATTACCAAAACACATCCAATTTGCATGAAATTTTCCATATAGATTCAAAAAAGGATGAGGAAGTTATTGAATGTGGACCTTTTTGATATTTGTTCTTACTTGTTTAGTTTTCAGTGTTGTTAAAGTTTATCAGTTTTTTTTGGAAAAAAAAACATTTTTTTCAAAAAGTTCTAGGTGGAAAAGACAAGTATAGCCTTTCCTCTATCAAAATAAAGTATTTATTTATGATTTCTTAATGATTTGATAC